TTGCTGAAGTAATCCATTACTACCACAATGTATTTGTTGCCATGGTTCGTCTCCGGGAAAGGACCAGCCACGTCGATCGCTATTAGTTCGAAGGGACTGCCAACATTGTACTGGCGCATAGGGGCTTTACCACGTTTTTGTGGCCCATTGATGGCTGCGCAAATGTCACATTTCTTACACCAGGTCCTCACATCTTCTTTGCAGTTTACCCAGTAGAACCGTTCACGCAGATTGCCAAGTGTCTTGGTAACACCAAGATGTCCACCGCTGGTTCCATTGTGAACTTCCTCCAAGACTTCTGGGACCCTCTTCTTTGGAATGACTATCTGCCTTCTCTCTTCTTGTCCCTCCGGTCTCTCGATCACACCGCGAAGTAGTCCGTTATCTATTACCAAGGAATTCCACTGGGCCCAGTACGACTTTACGTTCGGCGAATATCTGCAAACTTCTTCCCACGTTGATCTTTGGCCTGCGTTTTTCCAGTTAATTACTAAACCTAATTCTGGGTCACTGGTTTGGTCATTTGCAAGATCTTCGGGTTGCCAACTATCATTAACCACAGTTGTTCTTAGGAGTTTCACTTCTTTTTCGTCTGCTCGGGAACAATGCTTACAGTCCTTAGTGCAAGGTCTTCTAAAATTGACACCGGAGATGCACGACCAATCAAACAAAATCCGAGAAGACTTCCGCTCGCCAAACGTGAAGAAGCTGACAAAATCCTTCGAGAAATGAAAGAAGAGGGTGTCTTCGAACCATCTAACAGCCCGTGGACATCGCCGGTAGTACTAGTAAAGAAGAAAGACGGTACCATCAGGTTCTGTGTTGATTATCGGCAGCTCAATAATGTTACCAAGAAGGATAGCTATCCCCTGCCGAGTATAGACGATACTCTAGACACGCTGGCGGGGTCAACGATATCTCTATGTCTCTACGTTAGATCTGAAGAGTGGATATTGGCAAGTCGACAAGGCGCCGAAAGACAGAGAGAAGACAGCGTTCTCGATGGGCTTCGGACTGTGGCAATTTACAGTCATGCCTTTATTACTCCGGAATAAGATCATATTTTGAGTAGTTAACTAAAAAACCTAAATGGCTTAATACATCTAATACTATATCAGTGTTTCTTTTACACTCATTGTATGATTTTCCCAAAATTAAAAAATCGTCCAAATAAACCCTTCTAGTGGTTTCACTCCTTTTTTTCTTGTAATACTAACTACGGACCTCAAAATTTTGGTAAAGATTCGGGGTGCACAACTTAACCCAAATGGTAAACAGTTGTACTCATAAATTACCCCATTAAAGGGAAATCTTAAATATGTACGGTGTGTTTTCTTTACTGGGATTAAATGATAAGCATCTTTTAAATCTATGCGACACATAAAAAAATCTTTTGAGATGAGTCGGGCCACTATCTTATTATCCTCAATTTTAAAATGCTTAGTTTCTACAAAGGTGTTTAATCTTTTTAAGTTTAAAATTAATCTGTAAGATCCATCTGGCTTTAGAACAAAAAAATCTTTGATATAAATTGATCTTCACAGGTATATCGATCATCAAGTGAAATCGCACCTTTTTTAATAGGTCACCTACTAAATTTTTTACTACTAAAAACTCTTTTTCAGACCATTGACTTTCCTTGGGTATAATCTCTTGTCGTGATTTATCAATAAACGGAATAGAAAGACCTATATAGGACAGTATTGTCCTGTGTATTGGTAAAGCACGCCACCTCTGAGACAAAATTTCTTAAACGTCCACAAGGTTTACTAACCTGTTGATTCATGTCCGACGATGACGCTTCTTATCGTACTGGCTGCTTGATGATGATTGAATGATATGACTTCTTGATGGGAGTCTGATAAAGGAAAGCTCCATTTCTCCTGACTCCCACTGACCTCTGGTGAAATGGAATCCTGAAGTTTCGCGAATTTGACTGACCCGTTGATGATTGATTAAACCGCTTTTTTGTTTTAGTTGTTGTCCAGATTTTTCCAGTTCTCTTGTAGTCTTAATCCTTTCATCGAGGTCCTTACCAAAGAGCAACCCTGAAATTGGTGTATTGACCAGGGTGTCTTTAAGTTCCTTATTTAAATTTAAAGTAATCAACTCCCTTCTTGATTTGGATTCTGCAAAATGAACATTTGACAGCAATCTGCCAGCATCACTTAATAATTGGAATTATTCCTTGTTATGCATCTCCCCTTCCTGATTTTCAAGCATCATCTTAAGTGCTAGCCCTAATGCCGATAGGCTCGATGGAATTTGGAGTTGAGTGGGTTAACCGTTCATCTATCCGAATGATGCTTTCTGAAATCGCATATTTCACCTCCGGGTTAATTGCTGGCAGATTAATGCTCTGGCAATTTTCTGGGGGAAGATATTTAATTATAAGAGCACTCTTAGATTCCTCGTCAAGGCCCTTAGTCAGAATATTTTCCCATCGAGATGCTACATCTGCATGAATTGGTTTAGCAAATGCATCTTTAACAGCACCTTCCTCTCCTAAGATTGACAAAATATCCTTCTGCAGGTTTCTTGTTTCATCTGCAAGAAACAACAACCGTTAGGAATAATGTGGATATCACACCCTAATCAGCAATCATCGTCTTGGTTTTACGTTTGTTTAGTTCCAAGCCATATTCTTTACTAATAGAGCACAGTGCAGCCATGACTTCCTGGAACTCTTCTTTGCTGGCGGCTATAATAACGGTATCATCCGCGTATCTCAGGTTATTTATCCTCCTGCCCCTCACGAATATCCCACCGTTCCATTCATCTATTACTTGACGCATGATATATTTAGTGTAGATATTGAACAAGATTGGCGAGAGTTTACATCCCTGTCTCACACCTGCGTTACTCTTGAATCCACTCTATGGCCCCATAGTGAACACAAAAAACATAAGGATAATGATAATCGCCCTACATTTCATAAGCAAAACCAACTATGAACATTTTAATTACGTGAGAGTAAGTTCAAAACAAAAAAGTAGCCAACATTTGCTATATATGATATATACATCCTTAATCTCCAGCAATAACGGAGATAAAAAAAAAACCTAAAAGTATATTTCAGGTAAATTAGCTAAAGAAATATTTAAAAATTCCGGTACGATAGCTTCCAAGATTTACAAATAGCGGTAGAGAGTTCAGTTTCCCTGATATAATAAAGAATTCATTAGTGGCTCCCAAAATAAAACAAGAATCAGATAGCAGTATACTTTTAATAATTCTTTAGTTTCTATTATTATATCAATCATGACCTACTAATAAATGCGATCTGTTAATATATTTTTTAAATATTGCAGTAAATGGTGAAAATAAATATATAGTGATATATATTTTTGGGAAGCTTATGGCAAGCCAGAACATGTAATTTATAAATATACTGGGTGTTCCATTTAAGAAAACATAACGTTTCACCAAGTTTATATATAATATCATTGTAATAATCAAGACTTTGCTAATGGCAAAACTATCACCTTCTGCTACGGTGAGCTCGGTTCGAATACCGCGGTTAAGCTACATTAGATGGTATGATTGACAGATAAACGTCTAGAAAACTTCATTGACAATAACTTAAACTATTTTACCCTTTTACATTAATTTGTCAAATAAAAACGCTAGAAGAAATGCTTAAAAGAGTAATAAAATGCTTACCTTGATATATATTTTTGGCAAGGCCTTGAACTGCCGGTTTCAATTTGGGTTCTTATGTGTTTGACGAACTGCGTCTTAGAATGTTAATTTTCATGCGAGAAATTATCTAATGAAGTTAGAGCCTCTTTAACATACAGAAAGTGAAGATCGAGCGTATTAGGGTCTTTCAGTCCCTATGAGGAAGGGTCTTTATTAGGGTCTTTCAGTCCCTCTCTTTGAGGAACGCTGCAGCTGCTCTACTATTGCCTTTTCGGAGTAAAAAGTGTGTTTTATGTGTTCATATCTTTAAAAATATTCTTACTAAAAAAACAGATTACGCCATTGAATTTTACGTAAAAAATTCTACAATAAACTGTTTTCGCCTTCTCGATACCTTTAACAATACAGAGATATAGGGGGTGTCCCAAATTGTACAATTTTCAAAAAGACCCTGTAGCTGAGAAACGAAGAGGGCTATGAAATTATTGATTACGGCATCTTCCGTTTGACAAAAAGTGGGACAGGTTTGTGCAAACCGCACCCTTCTATTTTCACGAATAACGGAGATACCAGATGTTTTCAACCAAAATGGGACACACAGACTACGCCATTGAATTCTACGTAAAAAAAATCTACAATAAACTCAGAACAATCAGATAGCAATATACTTTTAATAATTCCTTAGTTTCTATTATTATATCAATCAAGGCCTACTAATAAATGCGATCTGTTAATATAATTTTTAAATATTGCAGTAAATGGTGAAAATAAATATAGAGATATATATATATTTTTGAGAAGCTTATGGCAAGTCAGAACATGTAATTTATATATATATATATATATATATATATATATATATATATATATATATATATATATATATATATATATATATATATATATATACTGGGTGTTCCATTTAAGAAAACATAACCTTTCTCCAAGTTTATATATAATATCATTGTAATAATCAAGACTTTGCTGATGGCAAAATTATAACCTTCTGCTACGGTGAGCTCAGTTACCGTAGTTAAGCCACATTAGACGGTATGATTGACGGATAAACGTCTAGAAAACTTCATTGACAATATCTTAAACTATTTTACCCTTTTACATTAATTTGTGAAATAAAAACGCTAGAAGAAATACTTAAAAGAGTAATAAAATGCTTACCTTGATATATATTTGTGGCAAGGCCTTAAACTGCAGGTTTCAATTTGGGTTTTCCCTCGCTGTTCTTCCCTTTGCCGGTGATTAGTTGTACATCTTCTGTGTTTGACGAACTGCGTCTTAGAATGTTAATTTTCATGGAAGAAATTATCTAATGAAGTTAGCGCCTCTTTAACGTACAGAAAATGAAGATCGAGCGTATTAGGGTCTTTCAGTCCCTGTGCATTCTCTTTGAGGAACGCTGAAGCTGCTCTACTATTGCCTTTTGTGAGTAAAAATTGTGTTTTAAGTGTTCATATCTTTAAAAATATTCTTTTTGTAGAATAACAGAATACGCCATTGAATTCTACGTAAAAAATTCTACAATAAACTGTTTTCGTCTTTTCGATACCTTTAACAATAACAGAGATACAGGGGGTGTCCCAAATTGTACAATTTTCAAAAAGACCCTGTAGCTGAGAAACGAAGAGGGCTATGATAATATTGATTACGGCATCTTCCGTTTGACAAAATAAAACAAGAATCAAATAGCAATATACTTTTAATAATTCTTTAGTTTCTTCTATTTTATATTATTGTCAATTTTCTATTATTATCAGTCATAGCCTACTAATAAATGCGATCTGATAATATATTTTTTAAATATTGCAGTAAATTGTGAAAATAAATTTAGAGTGATATATATTTTTGAGAATTTATGTCAAGCCAGATCATATAATTAAGAAAACATGTTTGTGCAAAATTTTACAAACAGGTTTATGCAAACCGCACCCTTCTATCTTCACGAATAACGGAGATACCGTATGATTTCAACCAAAATGGGACACCCTGTACATAGATTATTTTATAATTTACATACTATTTTAATTTACGTATATTTTTCAGAATATCTGGATCCATGGATTGATGGAAGTGATGTTAAAAGTTTTAGATCTGTCCTAAAGTTTACTCAGTCCTTTCCTACAGACAATAACTTTTTGTAAGTATATTTGGATTTTAGGAATATTAAAAAATTATGGGCATCAGACGCCAAATATTTTCAACTAGACAGAGAACTTATTGTTAAAATTTTTATATAGTATCTAATAATAAAAATGTATTATAAATAGAAGTATAATACGATTAACAATTAACAAATTTGCAACCACTTTTGGCTAAACCATAACTGGTTAAGTAAAAAACAAACTTCGATTTTTTTAGGAATCATTGGTTTACAAGGTAATGTAATGTAATGTAGTGATGTGTCGGTATATGAGTAAGGCGATTTTGGAGCGGTATTTTTTTGTAACGTCGTGTCGCGCTCCACAACGAATCATGAACCTGTTACTGAAGAACGACGATCATAATGACGACAAAATTATAAATTAATTATAATTTGCAAATAAATTATTTATAATCGCTCTTGAAGTTAGCTCGAACCGTAGTAACCGCATAGGGACGTGTTTAGCTCCAGCCGTCGCGATTTCGTCGGTCGCCAACAGTAGTATCAGGAACTGGTATGTCCGTAGCGCCGCGCGATCTCGATCGGGACGTGTTCGCTCCAGCCGTGCCGCTCCTAGAGTTGTAGTTCCCTGTCGCGAACAGAAGTAACTGCTGTAACTGGGCATCGACGCTCGGCCTCGGCAGCGACCTACTTCGCTCCAGCCTTCGCGCTCCTAGAGTAGTCATGGCCGGAACAGCAATTTTTTTAATAACAGGTACAAGCTGTTCCAGTTGCAAAAGATACCTGTTCCAAGAAGCCTGTTCCAGTTCCAAACTGTTCCAAAACGAAAATTAATACCGTACTTGCGTCATTCTGATTCGATTGCTATTTTTCTTTTTAAATTTATATAAAAGAATAGTTTTTGCTTAAATAATGAGAACTACTGGGGATTTTTCTGTTTTCTCTAAATTTAATCTACTATATATGTTGCTATATTACCAAGATAGAATGTTTTTTAACTAAAAATTAAAAAAAAACTATCAAATTTTCGAAAAATATAAACTTTTCAAAAACATTTTTTCCCGAAAAAAACTCATGAGAATCGAAATATACAACCCCTAAAAATATGTGCACCTATTTAAGACCCACCCTGTATAAGCACTAATGAATAAATACAGATTTATAATTTTGTAATATACTTAAAAAGAAAAATCTTGGAAGAGTTTATTTTTTTTAATATCTACTATATTTATAATACAAAACAATAACCGACTGTTCTTACACTGTATTTTTTAAAAAAAACTATAACGCGATAATTATATTGCATTTGGCAAAATCGCCAGCATTTTTTTATAATAATATTATCGGCGAAAGCCATTATTGGAGAGCTACGGCCGCCCTCAGCCATTATGGTGCCTCCATGGTACCTCTCCGTCATCATATCCAGAATCTCGTCCACCACTATATTGAAGAGTAATGGGCTGAGAGGATCGCCTTGTTTTACGCCTCTTTGGATCTTTATAGGGCGTGTTGCGTCTTTTCCAATTTTGATTGTAGTAGAGTTACCCTCTAGTGATCCCATTAGGTACTCTCTCGTGCCCTCGTCCAGTCCCATACGTCTCAAAGCCCTCTCGACGCTACTATGTGAGACTGTATCGACCGCCTTACTTATATCTAATGATAGCATAGTGTATGACTTGCCTTCTGATGTTCTGGAAGCTATAAAGTGATCTAAAAGCAAGACGTTCGCTAGTGAGTCTAGTTGACTATCTGAGTGATCTAGTTGACTATCTGAGTGAACCCGCGTTGTGCAGGGTTCAGTGTGATGCTCTTCTTAATCCTTGTGCTTAGCACACGATGGAATAGTCTTTGGCCTGCTGATCCAATTGTTATCGGACGCCAATTGCCGGGGGCCGTTCTGTCGCCATTTAGGTACCAAGACCGTCCTTAGGTTTTTCCATGAAGTAGGGTGAGCATTTCTAAAGTAGACCGCACTCATGATTATCGCCCAGTGTAGCGGTTTGATGTTTTTAGCACGCTGAACCGTCATGCCATCCGGGCCGGGAGCAGATGGGCGCCAGTTCGCCGCTGCGTCCTCGACCTCCTTGGCGGTTATAGGTCTAAACGTAATGGCTGCTGTTTTGGGCCCATGCGGCTCAGCGTCATCTGCTTCAGATTAATATTACTGAGACGAAATCAGAGTCGTGCTTCTGTCTAAAAAATTATTAGAAACATCAATAGTCTCAGCAATTTCTATTTTTTGAGAATCGTAATCACCAATTGAGCCACTTGGATGACTGTTCAAAGATGAATCGCCTTATCTCAGGTTATAATCAATGTTCACTATGGAATCGTCGGATAAAGAGGGTATTTTTCCAGTGTAAATAAAATTTGTCTTCCCAACACTATTGCTACATTGATCGACACCACTATTTAATTTATTCATTACAGGCACACAGCTGCAACGATATAAAACTACCCGTCTTATACCGAATCCACTGTTCGTAGTAAATAAAAGTCGCGATTTGATGAAACACTAACTTTTACTTATCAAAAAGAACTAATTAAGTATAAAGAGCCGAATTTGATACAGTATTAACTAATAAGTGTACGGAACGATCGTTTTCTTACAGCTCTCAAAAACCGACTGTCTCAATGACACTATGGCACTAAAATTAATTGTTGTATATAAGGTATAGAAAAAAACAAAGGTAACTAAAGGTAATAAATACATTGTAAATTAATTAAATAATGTTTTTAACATGGCTCTGACAGTAGTTCTCTAAAAAGCGTCTCTTATTAGTAGCATGCTATCACCCGCAAGTACTAAGATTCCAGAGATTTTAATTTATGTATACAGAGTGCTCTAAGAGATCCGAAACATTTAGATGTCTCGGATTTAAAGAAATATATTTATTTTTAAATAGACAGGTCATCTCACTAGGCTATCGTAAAATGCCAATTATTACAAATAGTTAAATATAAGATTAGGTATGTCCATTTTATTATCATTTCCAATCATAATGCCGAAATATCAACAGAAAATATTTTAATTAGATGTCAGAGTTTAACACTAGAACACTAGATATTGGGTGTTTAGCCATCTAAGTAGCTGGAAAATTTACTAGTAAAATAAAAAACTTACTATCACTATGTAACTCTTTAAAAATTATACAGGGTGGTACGAACTGTATTTCGGAAACTTCAGCAGCATATTCTGCACATAAAAATAAGTAAAAAAGTTCGTATAAATGTCTGTTCGAAAATGCTTAGTTTCGGAGATACAGGGTGTAGAAGTTTCATTTTTATTTCGATTTTTTTCAAATATTTTTTGAAGTAACGTCAATATTTGGATCAAAATTCGTGTCTAGGAGTTTTTTGACATGACAAATTTGATTTTGATGTCAATATGACTCCTATTTATAGAGGGCGCCACCTACATGTTTTTTAACTGGTTTGAACACTAATAACTTTTTGTCCGTACCTGTATAAAAGTACTGAGTAAAAAAAATACATTTACGACCTTTTTTACGTAAAACAAGGCTCTTGGTTAAAATCGCTACGAGTAATGGTTCTCGAGATATTTTGAATCGAAGTTATCAATACCTGTCATCATTGACATAAATTAAACATGTTGACTAAATAGTTATTAGACTGAAATAATAAATTTAAAATGTTTTTGTGCCAAAAGTTCAACAGCAACTGTTTTATCGTCATTTTTTCGAACAAAAATTTATGATTAATTAAAAAAAACAAAAAGTTCCAAAATTTATTATTTCAATCAAATAATTTATCTACCCAACACTTTTATTTTTTGTCAGTAATGACATGTATTGACTATTTGCATTCTAAATATCTTGCGAACGGTTGCTCGCAGCGATTTTTACCAAGAGACATTTTTTACGTAAAAAACGTCGTGTATGTATATTTTTTCACTCAGTAGTTTTATACAGGTACGGACGAAAAGTTATTACTCTTCAGTTAGAACACATGTAGTTAGAACACATGTAGGTGGCGCCCCCTACAAATAGGAGTCATATTGATATCAAAATCAAATTTCTCATGTTAAAAAACTCCTAGTCACCAATTTTCATCCAAATATTTACGTTACTTCAAAAATTATTTGGAAAAATCGAAATAAAAATGAAACTTCTACACCCTGTATCTCCGAAACTAAGCATTTTTGGACATATATTTATAAGAACCTTTTTACCTATTTTTATCTGCAGAATATGCTGCCGAAGTTTCCGGAATACAATTCGGACCACCCTGTATAAATAAAGAATTTTTAAATCTAATTGGATTGAGAACAATATTATATAGCTTAACGATATGGCCAACAATATCTACATTCATGTAATTTTTTTTCGAGAATAATATAGATATTTGTTTTAGAGAGTTTAGAGAGAAAATTAAAGCATTCTCAACAAGACCGCCATTTTGTGTTCCATATCATCATAAAATATTTGATAGTATATCGGTAAGTATTCAATTTAATTTTATATTCATACAAACATATTCCATACATCATATTATACCGGGTGTTGCATCGTCGTTGGGAACATAGGAAATCCCATGCAAAATTTGAACTGTCCAGATATTGGCTACCCTATGGATTTTATAGCGAAGTCGTAAATAGACTTTTTAAAGGCCTACATTTGGGTTTACCACATATATTACACATGCCAAATTTGAATAATTTTGGACAAGCCGATTTTAGGTAATTTGAGAAAAACTTAATCGATTTTTAAATTAAAACTGAATAGGTAACAATCAAACACCAGTCAACAACCGACATTCCTTAAGTTGTCAGCGTCATTTTCAAACGTAACTTAATTTTAATACAATTTTAATATTCAGTACTAGTAATAATTTATTGTTATACACATAAAGAAAAAGCGAACATGATAAAATACGCGGGAAATAGATTAGACAGTGTATCTGACATGTTTCGGTTAATTTTCCCTAAATATTAAAATTTTATTAAAATTACTTTTGACAATGACAAAATCATAGTTTGTAAACCTAAGGTATGTCGGTTTTTGACTGGTGTTTGATTGTTACCTGTTCGGTTTTAAAATAAAAATCGATTAAGTTTTTCTCAAATTACCTAAAATCGGCTTGTCCAAAATTGTTCAAATTTGGCATGTGTGTTTACCAAATGTAAACCTTTAAAAAGTCTATTTACGACTTCGCTATAAAATCCATAGGGGAGCCAATATCTGGACAGTTCGAATTTTGCATGGGATTTCCTATGTTCCCAACGACGATGCAACACCCGGTATAGATTCAAATTTGTATATTATACTTAATTCGTATCTCGTGATGGAAATATCGACTTGACGGATAAAACATGCTTTTTAAATATAATTTTAGTTATTTAATTTTTTCATATCTCCATGTCACGGTATGGTTTTCAGGTATACATATATATTTCGTATGAGAAGCGCACTAACACTAAACAAACTTAAAACAAATAAATCTGTATTAAAGCAAAATGCATAATCATCCTGCAGCGTCACGAATGCGATATTTCTCAATATACACATATCTCACACTATATACAAAATTAATCCTTTTTATTACATTGATATGAAGTGAGATGTTCTAAAAAAAAATAGTGTTCACGTAGTTCACCAAAGCATGAAGGAAATTTCTATTTAGATGTAATACAGTAACATTTGATCGATTCTTGTTGATATTAATAATAACTTTACATTGTAGGTTCCTATTGAAGCAGCATATCTTTATGATGCCGTTATGATATATGCGAGAGCTTTAACTGAAGCACTTGAAAAAAATGAAGATCCATCCAATGGCACAAAAATATTAAATAAGATTTTGAATAGATCATACCATTCGATAAAAGGATATGATGTAAGCTGATAAAATTGGCATCTCTATTATAACCGTATAATATTTATAACAGCAAGACCCTAAATCATCTTTTGCGAAAAAGTTCCATATTAGGTTTTCTGTCCAACAAGACGTTCCATGATAGTAACACTTGTATGTCATTTTAATATAGCGGTAATTTGTAGTTTCTGTCATTTTTTGCATATCGTTTGTCGAAGCCTTCCCTATTTTAGATCATATAGAAAGAAATAAAATAGATTTAACGCTAAAATTCAGCCAGGTATATACAGGGTGGCCCGAATCATTGACAAAAATTAAACCAAAAAAAAAAAAATTATCCGCATTTTTTCGTCAAAAAGCAGGTTTTTTGGGCCGCCGGAAAAAAAAATTTAACGGCCATCATAAACATCATATTGTCGCGACCTAGCTTGGGGAGCTTGTTTGCTAGGATCGCTTATACCAGGTTCTCTCTTTTAATCAAAACAACCATTAGGAAAAATACATTTATTTAGCATAAGATATTCAATGGTTTAGGAAATGAAAAAACAATTCTTGGAAATGCCAAAACTAAAAAAAGTACAGAGTACAGTACGTCTGTCCGTTCTGTAGCTACGGGGTATCCGTGAGAGGGGAAACGATATTTCTCTCGATTTTTTTCCTAAAAAATAGATGACGCGTCCCGTCAATAAAAATTCGACAAATTTGCAAGTAGCCAATAAAATGAGTGGGAAGAGCGATTTGCGGTGACGTACTCGTCAAGTCAACGTATAAAATATATTGATGTTTATTTAAATCAGTTAAATATTTTTTGTCCGCATTCCTTTCATAGACACAGATCCAGCAGACGTACTTTATGCTGAAAAGTACCCCAAACAACAGCATCTTCCTTAGCTGACGGGCTGACTTCTGTCTTCTCAATTAACTTGACTAACTACGACTACTGATGACTAACTGCTGTTAACTCTGCAACTAACTATGCGACTAACGGAATATTGGACTGACTAACTGACTATTGGACTGACTGACTGTCATTAACTGAACTCCGCTCTCTTCAGCATATTCTTTTTATATTTCCTATCCCTCGTGGTCGTCGCTGGTTACGTCGTTCAATAGTTTTCCCTCTAATTACATTCACCTGGCAATTTATTATATATTAGAAAATCGAACTTCGGTAACCTGCGTTTGATTATCGACCCGAGATTGTTGTATTTTAATTCTTAATATTATTTAAAAACATATCTGGGTCGATGTCATGCAGGTAACCGATCTCCTGGGCCTACATCAAATTGGTTTACTAAAATTATATTTTACATGATTTTTCCCAATTTGATATAAACCCAAGTTGACATTTATTTAAGTCTTGACAATACCTTCTCGTTAGATATCTTAGATATCCCGGCAGCATTTTCCTATTCCTATGTGGTTAACGCTACACGGAACGCTATATAATCGTATAGGACTTGTTAAATTATAAATGATTTCGCATTTCCTATTAGGCCCGCGCACACCTCATGCCGATGTCTCGGCGCTCACAATCTATCTATATACGGATATAAGATCTGGTGTTTCATTCTGATGCAAAGCATTTAATACAACCTCATTGGTAGATTTTGTACCTCTTTTTTTAGAAATGTTTTAGGAGGAAAGAATAATTTCATTTTTTTTGCAAATGGTAGAGATACGAAGCTTCAGCACTATTTTAAAAGGTTTTGTATAACTGTTTTGAATCTGATCTATTAGTAGTAATAAACTGATACACTAAGATCTCTTAAAGATATGGTGTTATAGAGATGCAAAGCATTTAATACATACATACTGCCATTACTCGCTGACGAGTATTTGACACGCATCAGAAGATGGTCACGCAAGGCGTCTTGTTTCATGAGCTTTTCTATGACTGAAAAGCCCGATACGCGAATTTATCTGTCTACCACACTCCGGACATTCAAAAATCTCATTGCTTTGTAGCCTCTTTACCTTTTTGTTGTTGCTGTTAACTGAGTTTACAATTCTTCTCCATTCCCTTCTATTGTGAGCTGCTTCTTCCCACTCATTCTGCATGTTAATCCCCTTTAAGTTTTCGTGGAAAATATCCGAGAGCGGCAACATCTGTATTTCGGCAGTGGAATTCCTGTGAAAAGTGCTGTTCTTCTCTCTGGTCGATTGGTGTTTGTCCTGTCCAGTAGAGTGCGGACGTTCCACGCTGCAAACGTGAAACATTGACGATGCTTAGTTCTCCGATGATACGCTCAAGTAGGCACCTCCTCTCCGAGTTCTGATCGAGGGGGTATTTTACCTCCGGACGTGGCAAGGACCTCCTCTATACCACCAAATGGTAGAGATATATGAAGCTTCAGCACTATTTTAAAAAGTTTTGTATAAATCTGATCTATTAGTAGTAATAGACTGATACACTGTTTATGGTCTCATCTTCACAAAACAATAAGTTCTTGTACACGACCGACATTAAACTAGAGCAGTGTGATTCTCCTGCAGGAACAGGAGGTCAATTTTGCAAGCACTTTTGTGAAGTTTATAAATCATGTGTTAGTTTGGTCTCAACACCTCATTTGTTGTTTCAAGGCCGCATCGAATTTGCTACTTTAGCAATGATGAATAATGTTAACAGTTATTTTTGTACGAATTTGGATTTGAATTCCGATTCTTTGGCAGAAGATCAGAAGGATTTTAATAAGCCTATGCAGTCTATACCTAACACAATCATTTGCGAGCCTTCTAGCTCCAGTGTTCAGTCGTCTCAGGAGCATTCAGAAGTATTTGGGGTAAAATATAATATCAAACAAATTATAATATCACCATCTTTACTATATCAGAATATAGTAAAGAACCAAAAATATTGGAAGGAACCTTCAAAAAAATGCACAACAAAAAGCCCACCTATCTAAACATATGCATAAAAACAAAAGAACTTTTTAATTAATAATATCTAATATAATATAATATATATATGCTCTTCGTCTGGTGAACAATAGGTGTAGGTTCATTTAATTATTTTTGCATATTGTTGGGCACCACTTAATTTAAGCCAAGTTAAGGTGATATTTAAAAAAATAAGAAAATTACCACAGGCTAAAGATGTTCAGTAATGATATATCTCAAATTAAAACAACAAAATTTAATAAAAAAACTATGTACATTTATTAATAATTAAATAACTCCAGTTTGAAAGTGAATTAAAAAGTCATTTAAAAAACAATAAATTAATATTATATTGATATAGCGAAACTTAAATTAAATATTACTAAATATAAATCATCAAACGTAATCGTTTGTTTAAGTTTCATCAAAAATGAGGTTTCAATATAAGGTAAGTTTCTGTAGAAAGTTAAGAAAAAGGCAAAAAGATTCTAAAGCAAAACGTAAATGAGTACTTAGCTTTTGCTCTGAAGCTGTAGTCAATCAGTGTTAATTTGGTGTCGTACTGGGGCCCATATCCATTACGTAACTGCTTCAAACCATCAGAAAACTTGTAAATTTGCGGAAAAAGGGAAAACTCGTCAATTTCACACCAGCCTCCAACAGGGAGCTTCACGGAACCATTCATAAAAACCAAAAACTGATCAAAACTTCGGCTCAAAAAAAACTACTGCTAAATCTTCTTAAAAAACTCGTCCAAAATGTTCTCAAAAAAACTTCTCGTTTCCAAAACGAAAGTTGCTCCCAAAATGTACTCCAAAAAATTACTCCAAAAAACTCCCAAAATGTCAAATCTTCCCCTTAAGTTGGTAAGGGACATACTCGCAGGGCTATTCTCCGCCACATACGATGTACCAAAAAACTTTTCAAAGAAGACGAGAACCACCCTGGGACTTCACCAGTGGTTGAAATGGAAGTGTCGAAAAATCCGAATAAAATGTTAAAATTCTGCCAGAGATTATCTTCTGACGACAAAAGGTAAATACACATCAAACTGTGCTCGAAATAAGGAAACTTCAGGAAAGTTATTAATAACATTTAAAGAAAAATTTAAATAATAATATAAATGGCAACCCTGCGCCACCACATCGAACGGCATTCACGGTACTACCAAAATTGCAGCGGTACCGACTAGGGATGGGCATTATTTGCTTAAATTCTGCTAGAGATGTAGCGCAAAAATAAGAAATTATTTTAGGCTGCTACAAGGTGTATCATTTATAACGTTTTGTCAAATCCACCGAGTGCCAAAAGTCATTCACTGAGAGAAAAAACATTGTAAAATCAAAAAAATGCTAATGAATCAAATCAAACATATTTTGGCCTCATTAATAGTCATAATTGAATTAATAAGACATCTATTGATTTAATGCATATACTCGTACATATAAAACATTGTACATATAAAAAAATAAGGAAATCTTAGTTTATTTTGAACGTGGTTCTTTTAAAACATAATATAAGGTAATAATTACTTTAAAAGGACTAAATATTAGTTATCCGATAAAATAGTATTTACTTTATTTCGAATGCTTTAATTTTTATTATGTATATAAAACAATATTATATTATTAGCAATCGTTTATGAAGCAAATAATTCAGTAAATCGAATTCCATAGAACGAGTTGAGTGTTGAAAAATGTACTAACTATGTAAGGCGTTTTACTAATTACTACAAACCAACCCAATGTAAAAAGTTATGCAGTTTTTATTATATCTAAAGTGTATGAACTGTAACTTATCCCCCCTGGTGTAGAAAAGTAGAAATAATGAACACAGTTATTTAATTATTGTGCGCTGGTCTAATAGGAAACGTGACGTTAGTTATAATTTAACAAGTCCTAGACGATTAGCGCTCCGTGTATCAGGAAAATGCATCCCGGCATTTTCTTTAATTTGTTATCATTGAGTTTTCCGCATACATTACATACATATTCATCATCCTTTCTTCTTCTATCTGACAAATTCAATATCTCTGGAATCGGAGAAACCATTGTTTCTGAAGTTTCATTTTCAGAAATCTCATCATCTTTATTTGCATTAGTTACAGTATTTCGGACCCTCAAAACAGAAAATACAAATTATTATTTATTATTTTCGGATGCCAGTAGAAGAATTACGGGGTTTAGAAGTCGAAAAAGGGTTCAAAAATAATTTCCGACATACCATCGGTGCAATGTGTTAACACATTGTAATTCAATGTTCAGATAAATCGGGCTCTGATTATTTCATCTGTAAAAAGACATATAGTATCCTACCATTTGCTTTTGTCGATAGTAAATATAATTTTTTGTATGCCGATATTGATACTCCAGGGAGGAGGTATTTTCAAAATTCCTGGTTGGTGGCAAAAAAAATTCTTCCAACACATCTAATTCAACAAGGCCATGCTCAATATCTAATTCAAATAATGCTGATATTCCTTATGTGTTTTTGGCTGACTTGGCTGAATTTTAAATACTCGACTGTCAAGATTTCGAATGACAGTAGAGATTTTTTTTGGTGTTTTAGCCGCGAGATTGAGAACAATTGAAAGACCAATCAATATGAAAACAGATAATATTCCTGTTGTTACCATGACCTTAAATATCTCAGGAAACGTAAACAATCATCACATATTTATACGCCTTCCGGTATTGATGAAGACGGAGCGATATTTTAACCTGGAACTGGTGCTATATAAAACGAACGCAGGTCACCGCACTATGCTTGTCAAATAAGAGACCATTTTTCTGAATATTTAAACTTATTTAAGGAGTACCTCTCTACTTATTAATCAATAAACTTTTACATTTAAACATTGATCTCAAAAAATTGTCTATATATTCAAAAGCCAACCACTGTGGATTGTACATATCGTCGACAGCCGCATCAGATTTAATTGATGCTTCTTTTTTAGGACAGGTTCTAAATTGCAATGAGAGAATCCTTGTTTTTTTAAACTTCTATCTGAAAATGAATTACTTCTTGGTTTCGCACCCAAGGATCATTAACTCCTCTTTTATCTTTATGGGCTTTTTCATTTGAATCCCATATAATCCTTACTGATTGTAATACCTACTGATTAAAAATTAGTGTTTTAATACAGGTACTCTAGATTTCAAATCGGCAGAAGATAGACATTTTTATATTAATTTTTGAATTCGGCTACAACAAATTTTGAAATATGTTATCTCAGGTATTCATGGATCAAAATGGAGATGCCGAGGGCAATTTTACCGTTGTTTCATTACTAGATGATAAGGAGGTTGATAGTAATTTGAGAATGAGTATGCAACCAGTTGGCTACTTCCAGTATATTTTAAATGGGAGCATTATGTCAGCATTACCGGTAAGTAATTTTTCTGTCAATTTGTAACTGATTTAATATACAATATTAGCAATTGAGTGTTGTGAAGGGGAATGTTTTTAGGTTTTTGAAATTAAGTTTACAGTAAATGTAGGCTACTTTGAATATTAAAATATTTTTGATATCGTTCTCTGTGGTAAACTACTAATTACTTCTTATAAAGTAGTAATTTTTTATACAGTTTAAAACGTTTTTAAAAAGTGTTTAAAGTTTTAAAATTGATAATAACTGAATGATGAAACCTAATTACATGGGCTAAATAACCAAGTACAATTTGTAGTACAAAACAACCCAACATTATCTTTTACATAAACGATATCTTTACATTTATTAATGTACAGATTGAATGATGAAAACCTAATTACATGGGCTAAATAACCAAGTACAATTTGTAGTACAAAACAACCCAACATTATCTTTTACATAAACGATATCTTTACATTTATTAATGTACAGATTGATTCTTCAATAAGTGCAAAAGAATCGAGATATTTTACTTTAAAAATTAATGATATAAAATTATATTTCTGTATCTCGCAGGAGTTCCGCTATTTCAATACCAGTCGTCCAATTCAATGGATAGGTGGCAATATACCTAAAGTTGAACCTAAATGTGGATTCAATGGTGAAAAATGTGTTTATAAGGTAGATTGGAGAATGGTGGCGGGCATTATAATGCTCTCATCGATATTGTTTGTGGGAGGTTTATTTGCTTTTAAGTAAGTAAACTGGTTGTATTGTGACTGTATGTTAATGGTGTTTATTTTTGTCACGTGTCATATACATATTAAATATTATTAATACTGAATGCACATCTCACATTAGACCATGACCGCCAGGATTATTTTCAGGGAGGTGGATCAGCGATTCTTGCATTGTCAGTGTTGATAGAAAAATAGTAACTTAATAAAATAAAATAGTTCTTGGATTTTCGGGTATTTTTTATTCTGAAGGGGCATCTAACTGCATCTCCTTGTCCGATTTGGTTCCCATACAGAACAACATCATATGTCAATGTCTGTTAATTTATATGATAATAACAAAATTTTATTCTCAGCTTTATTCAACTTTTCCTATGAAATAATGTGGGATTGCTGAGGGCGTGTATTCACTAAAGGTGGGACCAAGAATTCTCAAGATATCTACAAAATGTCATAAACCAAGTTGTAAAAAATGCTAGTGTTAATGGCTTTAAACTATCTAAACAAAAAAACGTTTCTGCTGCATTTCTGCAAATTGCATCGGCCACATTATCGTCCACTCCTTTTCATGGTCAATTGCCCTCTTGAGCTTAAAACTGAAACCAAATTTCTGGGCTTAATATTTGATGTAAAACTGATGTGAAAACCACATATAAATGGATTAGTGTTAGGGTGCAAGAAGATTCTAAATTTTATTAAATGTTTCTCGCATACCACATAAGTAGCAAGTAAACTTACCCAGCTCTATGAAACCTTGGTACGTTCGAAGATCGATTATGGGTCGGTGATATACTCTGCTGCTTTCAAATCATCCCTACAGCTTCTGGACCGCGTACAAAATGCATGTTTGAGGCAAGCGCTTGGAGCTTTTAACACAAGGCCCCATGAAATTAGCACAATCCTACCTCACTTCGGCTTTGGCAAATCCTAGCCATATAGTGAGAAAAACAATGCTATCCCGTCATATGAAAGAACATCTGACTATGATAATCAATGAAATTCCATATGAAAATCCTCCATGGCTAATACATGAAAATGAAGTAACATTAGACCTAAATAACCTCAAACGTCAAGACACGTCACCTGAAATATACCAACGACAGTTCCAGAAAATGCTAGATCAGTACAAAGAAAAAATTGTCATTTATGCTGATGGCTCCAAAACACAAACTGGTGCTGGATGTGCAATAATTATCAACGGGTCAGCTTTTCAATGGACTTTAGGACACAAAGCATCAGCTTTCTTTACAGAACATTTTGCAATCTGGAGCCTGGGTTTGAGACCATGGGGGGGCCCATGGTACAAAGAAAACAATTGAATGAAGAATGTATTATTTATTCTTAGTTCGTTTAGCGGGTAAAGGTTAATCATAATCTCTCCGTTGCTATTTAGTACATCTTCGTTAAATCGTTGTTTCACTCCTAGTATTATTTCGCTGATAATTCGTCCATTGAAGTCTCCTAGAATAATCATCATTTCATTTGCTGGTAAAGAATCGATCGTGTCTTGAAGTTGGTTATAGAATGCCTCACACTCGTGACTGGGTTTACTATCTTCCGGTGCATGTACTGATATTACATTTATTTCTTGATCTTCTGCGCGAATTTTAGCGACAAGTATGCGTGATAATATATAACGGCATTCGTTTATATTTGACTTATATTCATGGTGTATCAGTAAGGCTGCTCCTTGTTTAGCTCGTTCCTGCCTTTCGACTCCACTGTAGGTCATTAGGTATTATTGGCATTGTTTTTGACCTTTTCCTTTCTTTTTAGTTTCCTGTACGGCGCAGATCTCAAGTAGTTCTTCTATTACTTCTTGTTCTCTAGTGTTGAGTGACTTAATGTTCCATGCTGCAAATCGTAGTAAATTCTTCCTTTTTAATAGGTTCCATCCGATTCTGAGGCAAGATGTGGGTTCTGTGAGCATGTAACCTTTTTTACCTCAGGCAGGGTGCTGACCTAATCTTTGAACCCTCCTCCTTTATCCGGGATTGGGACCGACAACACGGCTGCTGAACTCCTCAATCCATCCAGCAACCATGAGGGCGGAGTTGAGACCATACCTGGTAGGCATATCCCAGGACCGATCTAACATACGTGCAGTACAGAGTTCTGAAACAGTCAATGACACTGAAATTATTCAAAGATCTCTTAATAAATCCCAGTAGCTTTAATGCCTTATTAGTTACATAGTTCACATGAAAGTTAAGATTTAAATTGCTATCAAAATTTACTCCAAGGTTCTTTACAACTTCTTTATTCTCCAAAGGTATGTTAATAGTATACTGATATTGTATGAAATATTTAATACGATAGAATTTTAAGACAAAACATTTGTTTATACTCAATGGCATTCAATTTAAGTCGCACCATCTGCCCACCGCATATCTATCTCTATCACCTATATCTTCTTGAAGTCTCAGACAGTCATCCAAATTCTCAATTACTCGATAAATCTTTAAATCATCCGCAAATAAAAAGGCACTTAGAATATTTCAGACACTGAGTTAAATCATTGATAAAAATGATAAACAATATTGGAGCAAGATGTGAACTTTGTGGTACGCCAGATGAGACCAAGAACTCACGAGAAACAAAATTATCAATTTTAACTTGCTGACTTCTGTTAGTTAAATAACTATTAAACCATTCTAAAAGATTTCCGAAAATACCATACCTTTCTAACTTTTTCACAATTAAAATATGATTTACCTGGTCAAAAGCCTTACAGAAATCTGTGTAATTACCATCCTCGATGGTCCTCCTCAAAAGCTGCTCATAAACAAGCAAATTACTCACAATAGATCGACCACTGACAAAGCTATGTTGGTTTACATTTAAAATAGACTGAAGTTTGGACTTTAGTTTTGACTCTACATACATACATACATACTGCCATTACTCGCAGACGAGTATTCGACACGCATCAAAAGATGGTCACACAAGGCCGTTTTCTTTCAAGATGTGAACTTTGTGGTACGCCAGATGAGACCAAGAACTCACGAGAAACAAAATTATCAATTTTAACTTGCTGACTTCTGTTAGTTAAATAACTATTAAACCATTCTAAAAGATTTCCGAAAATACCATACCTTTCTAACTTTTTCACAATTAAAATATGATTTACCTGGTCAAAAGCCTTACAGAAATCTGTGTAATTACCATCCTCGATGGTCCTCCTCAAAAGCTGCTCATAAACAAGCAAATTACTCACAATAGATCGACCACTGACAAAGCTATGTTGGTTTACATTTAAAATAGACTGAAGTTTGGACTTTAGTTTTGACTCTACATACATACATACATACTGCCATTACTCGCAGACGAGTATTCGATACGCATCAAAAGATGGTCACACAAGGCCGTTTTCTTTCATGAGCTTTTCTGTGACTGAAAAACCCGATACGTGATATTATTTGCCTATCGCACTCCGGACATTCAAAAATCTCATTGCTCTGATGCCTCTTTATTTTTTGGTTGTCGCTGTTAACTGAGTTTACAATTCTTCTCCATTGAGTTTTATTGTGAATTGCTTGTTCCCAATGATTCTGCATGTTAATCCCCTTTAAGTTTTCGTGGAAAATGTCCTTGTACCTTTTGAGTTGTCCACCCGGCCTCCTCTTACCGCCTACAAGCTCACCGTAAAGCAGAGATTTTGGTATGCGGTTTTCTTGCATTCTGCATACGTGACCAGCCCATCTTAAGCGGGATTTTGGTAACCATGACTTCAATACTCTCGCAGTTAGCTTTTCCAAGGACCGATACGTTTGAGACATGATGGAACCGCCGGATTCTTAAGAGTTGTCTAAGGTGTCTCTGTTGCAACTTGTTTAATGCGTTCATGTGTCGGCGGTACGGCACCCAGGTTTCGCTCCCATATAACATGGTGGGGATTATAATTGCTCGGTACGCTGCAAGTTTTGTTTTTGTACTCAAGTCATGATTGTAGAAAACCCTGTCTTTTAATTTCCAGAATACTCTTGAGGTGCTGCTAATCCTGTGCTGAATTTCAGAGTCGATATTGGCCTTTTCCGAAATCAGACTGCCGAGGTAATTAAATTCTGCTACATATTCCAATAGTTCTTCTCCGATTTTTATAGCATTGTTATGATCTTCTGGGGGAGTGCACATGATTTTGGTTTTGTCGATGTTTAGCTTAAGGTCCTCGTAATTAAGCCTCGTATGCCCAGGTATATGTGTTCAACATTTCTTGTAATTGTAACGTGTTTGCAACTAGAGCGCAGTCATCAGCGTATTGAAGTTCTGTGATGAATTTTGTACGTGTTTTGACTCTACTATCATTTTAAACACATTTGCTATTAAAGATGTCTTGCTTATTGCTCTATAGTTAGTAACCTCAACCCTATATCCGCTCTTATAGATAGGTGTTACAAACGATTTCTCCCTGGATAGGAACCAGCTACAACTGACTTATTAAAAATAACACTTAAAATAAAGGCCAAAATGAAAGGGACGGTGGATATCGGTAATGACGGTGGTTGTTGGGTGTGGATAGCAATATCGGGCTTGAATAGTGTGCCGTCCTTATGACGCACGTGCGGCTCCTCTTCTACCTCGAACTCTCTTTGCCGGCAGGAATCAGCGATCTTTTTGCTGATATCGTTGTTGCGCCCGATTCGTTCGTAGTGTATTAACGGGCAGCCTTGCAATACGTGGGATAAGGATTCCACGCGATTGCATCCTCCGCGGCATTTCTGCTGTTCGGGGGGGTTCGAGGGGATGCCCCTAGTAGGAAGGGCGTTCGCCCTGAGGTGAACCGCACGGACGAAATCACGGCCTGTCCAACCTCTCGGCTTTCTGTTGAGCCAGCCTCAACTGGCCTGATCGCCACTTGCATTTGTGATTCCCGATGTTAGGGGGCCGTTGTTCGCCGCTTGTCGCCATTTTTGTTCAGGGGGAATGTTCCCTGACAGGGCCTGTAATTTGGCGAATATACTGCCCAGCCTTTCGGCCTGCAACATCCTGCTGACAACCTCATCGTCGGTCCTAGACAGCAGGCGCTGCATTCGTCCCAGTAGCTGGTTGGGAATAGCGGAACGCAGCTCCGTTATGCCCAGGCCCCCGTCTCTGACTCTAGCGAACAGGATAGCGTCCGGTACGTGATTGTGTCAGAGGTGCAGGATCCTCTTCGTGGCGCTTTTAATCATCCTGTCCGCTTCCTTAAGGATCTCCCCGGTCATCTGTGTTGACTGGAGACCGTACAAGACCTTGGGAATTAGGTGATCCTTCAGGATAGCCAGTTTTTGGTCTGGTTTGAGGGGGGCCCGGTGCAGTCTCGCTATCCAGGCCTGCAGGTTACATAATGATGGTTTTCTAATTCCTGAGGTGCCGTACATATGGCCCAGGTACAGAAACGCCGACAGGCCGCTGTTTGTGGGGATCTTCGAGGACTTTCGTGGAGGACTTTTTATTGCCGTGGTGTGTTGTGGCTGTTATTGAAGTACACTTCTTAGGGTTTATGGCCATGCCGCGACTCTTTAGGAAATTAGCTGTTTCGTCCAGTAAGAGGGGTATGACCCTGATGTCGTCCTCCATCAAGATAAGATCGTCCGCAAAGGCCATTATCTTTGTTCTGCTGCCTTCCGCCAAGGTTCCGCCGCATTAAAAGGGAAAACAGTAAACATAGAGTACAAAACAATTAATAAAAACATCCATTAACCTAAGATTACTTATTGGTACAAGTTTTTTTTAGTAAAGTTCTTCATCGTTGACAAAATAAAGTATGTCAAATTTTCTTCAACGGGAGTTATTCGTTTTTTCAAACCCACTATCTTTTGCTATGACTCCATTATATTACAAAAATCAGAAACAAACACTATTGCACTATACATTCTTGCGAGTGCCTAATTTATCTTAATTTTTCACAGAAAATTTCTTCCATATGGAAAATACCGCACACCACTTTTTACGTACAACGATTACAAAACAATTAATTATACATAACTACAAAAAATAAAGTACAAAAAAAGTTACATTTCCATCGTCAGAAATTTCATTTTTGTAAGACATAGTCTTAGGAATATTATATGAGTTATTCTTTTTCCTGACATATTTCCAAAAGTCTCTGCTATTCTAATTAATAGAGCTTTCGACTTGCATTATATGATCACGGTAAGAAGCTTCAGAAAGACGCTGACATTCACGAAGTAAGTCGGAGAAATCTTCGTAGTCATTTACATTATTAGTCTCTCTAAACCTCTTATGTGCATTTTTTTTCTTTAGAATGCACTCTTATAAAGCATCACTGACTACCATGATGGAAAAACTGGCTTTTTGATAACCTTCTTGGAACATACAACTCAAAGCTTTTATAAACAGTGTCATAAAACGCTTTTATATCTATATTAATATTATCATAATTTAAAACCTGACGCCAATCAAAGGATCCAAGAAAGTTTATTATCGATCGAAAATTACAGTTTCTAAAATCATAAAACTCCTGGAAAGAATTTAAAGTGTCAGATGACTGACTACTTATACACCCTCCGAAAGACAGAGCTGGATGGTAGCTGTCAATAGATATCAGAGGTTCAGAAACTGATGAAACATTTAAAGAGTCAATATCTGTTGCTATCAAATCCAGGTACCCCCAACTGCATTTGAAATATTATTCTTGTGGCTTAGATTCAAGTATGCAAAAAAATCTGAAACAATTGTACAGTGAGGCGAGAAACTACCAACCGCTCCAGATCCATACGCATCATTTTCCCAATGCACCCCTGGAAGCTTAAAATTTTCGCACAATATATTACAGTTTATTACATTTACTTTTGTCCATGACATGTTCAACAGTGCTGCAGTATAATTCTTAATCTTCTACGCCAGATTTCGGGGGCAAATATACCATACTAAGGAGTACCCTATCCAAACCTTTTCCTATAATCACAAACAGACATTCTAACACTTCACTGTCACAACTAACCTCAGTTATAGGTAATCCCCACTTAGCTGCCAACAAAACTCCTCCACCTCGGGACTTATCACTTTTTTGTATCAAAATGTCATTTAATTTAGTTCGAATTCCCGAAACATTCCGATAGTAACAATTTAAGCAACTCAGTTTTTTGAATCAGAATCATTTTTAGTAATTATTTTGGGAAGTACCTCAACATATCTCATAATCAAATTGGTCTCATCATTATTTCCTCTCTCCTTCAATTCATCCTGAACAGGTTTCATTTGATTCCTCTACATAATAGTTAGGTCAGGAATTGTTCGAATTTAACCTGTACTGGCTATGTTTTTATGATAACTGGCCAGAATTCATTCAAATAAAAACTCTGTTTAGTATTAAACGACATTATGGAGCGTAGACATCTTAACAGAGACGAAATGCTAATCGAGGTAGTTAGAGCATTAAATACAACGCAAAGTGTAATATCGCGATTAAGTGCACGCTACCGTGAAAGTGGTGATATTGCTGAAAGGCACACAGGGCAACAACGCATTACTACCCCTCAGCAAGATCATTTTTTACATTTAAATGCTCAACGCCGACCGACTCGTACAGCACCAGAGCTTAGTTTAATTCTCCAGGAAACACATAATGTAACCGTTAGTCCTGAAACTGTTCGCAATAGATTAAGAGAGGTCAACTTAAGAAGCAGACGCCCCTGGAGAGCTCAACCCTTAACGAGAGGAAATCGAGAGGTACGATATTTGTGGGCTCAAGATCATGTTCAGTGGTCGCATGAACAATGGGCCAATGTTCTCTTCACGGATGAGTCACGCTTTGGAATTCATTCGGGTTCGAGAAGGCTTAGGGTATGGAGAGAACCTGGAAATTTTATTCGGTTGGATCATGTTCAGGAAGTGCACCCTTATCAAGGTGGAACAGTTATGGTCTGGGGAGGAGTCCAGTTAATTGAATCGATTTGAAAAAAAATGAGCTAAGCTGAATTGAATTACTTGTGATATTGTGATAAACTTTTCAATATTTAATTTCCTGACCAGCATGTTTTCTCTTTAAGATTCAATGTGTGTACTGATCTCTAACTTTGAAACTTAGTCTATATCATTTTTAGATGTGCCGCCATATTAAAAATACGTTTAACCGTCAGGTCTCTTTGCGAAACATTGATGTGTAAAAATGCATGCCCAATATAGTTGGTTCTCTAGAAACTTTTATTTCAAACTCAGCTAGGCAGAATTGAACCAACTTTTAATTGAAATAATTATTGATTACTAAATAGAATTATATTCTAGGCATTATCGATACGAGCAGAAACTAGCTTGTTTACTATGGAAAATTGATATGAGGGATGTTACTATTATACCCATAGATGTTACTGTTTCACCAAATAAAAGCATGGTAATATTTTATATAACTAATTGTATAACTATTTATTTTATAAATTTCATCACCAAAACCGTTTATTTACAAGTGTGTATTTTTTATTTGGCTAAAAGATAATAGAATGAATTCTTACTTGTTATACTTTGTGTTTCATTTAAGTACGAGGGCTGTCTTTTATTTTGCCATATAGAGGTAGAAAAAAAAACAGTATATAACTTTTAAACACTAACGACTTTAGAAGTATTCTCCACTAGTGATGTAAACTTTAGTTACTTATATGGACTCGTAAGTTCTTTTAGTTACTTAGTTTTATTTTGGTAATAGGACTCTTTACTTTGGACTCGTTACTTTAGTTACTTATCGTTACTTTATAATCGTTGTTTTGTGTACCGGGTGTTCCACTAAGAATAGCTCTCGGCTGTATCTCGAAAAGTATTAGCTGTAGGGTTTACGGAAAAAATATTTATAACTAAAGAGGCTATGAGAAATTGCTGGAAATTATTTTCAAGTTTGTAGAACGGCCGCTAGGGGGCGCAACTGCAACAAAAAATATGAAAATGGAGTTTTTACACAATTTTGCCTAGATAAGGTGTACCATAAGTAATAGCTTCATAATCTTCAGTAAATTTTGAATATTTTTTGTTAGAGCCATTTTCCCCTATCTGCCAAAATAAAATGGTGGGGGAAGGTTAGATCTGTTTTTATTTAAATATTAATACCTCTGGACTGGATGATCGGAATCTAATAAGCGAGGGCTCGTTTAAAAGAGCGTTTCTTACTCTATATTGTACCATATAAACAATAATAATAAGCTTTTGAACGTAGTCGCTAGGGGGCGTTGTCTTACAATTTAACAAGCATTGCGCGTTTTTTCAAAAAAAATTAAATGCAATAGTATATGCAATTTTAGCTGATAGTAAAGAATAGTGAAAGCTTAAAAAGTCAGCGAAAACCGCATCTTGATATCTTCTTTCAAACCGAAGATATTAGCAAAATTATAATAAATACCAAAAAATAAACCCTTAATTACTTTATTTTTACAACACGGTATCAGTAGCTCTCTTAATTATGCCCATTCTAACAAAAAAATAAGATAGAAACAGTTAGTTTATTTTAAAATCGACGAAATACCAGAATACCATAATACCAGATGTATTAATATCTAATAATTAAGATATTAATAATAGTGATCAAGAAACGATGGTTCGGGGAAGTCATGGTAGGCTTTGGAAAAAAGTTGCATTTGACGTAATAGCATAAACGTCAAATTGTTATTAGATCAACATTTTGATAGTCTTATCAGCGTTTTTTATCTTTTAATTGATTTTTCAAAATGCCTTTATTATTTGAAATAGTTGAAGTTGTTGGCATTTTGAAAAAGCAATTAAAAGATAAAAATCGCTGATAAGACTATCAAAAAGTTGATTTAATAACACTTTGACGATTATACTATTACGTCAAAAGCAACTTTTTTCCAAAGCCTATGTCCCAATGCCATTAAATATACCACGCTTTTCTCTATAAATGTACTGATTCGTATCGCGTATTATTTCATTATATTTTGTATTAATTGATCTTGATATTTGTAATAAAAGACTTATATGCGTTTTAACTTCTGATTTAAAAGCTATCATTCGTGGTGCATCTTCTTCTAAAGTGTTTAAAATATTATCTAATATTTTATCATTATTTAAAATAGTATTTTTGATTAATTCTAAATCTTTATAAACTAATAGTGTCCATTTATCATTGGATACTTTTATTTGTGCGTCTTCATGTAGGTACACTCCGACTGTATTGTTGATTGGTGTAATAACATACTGGGAGTATACTATGGATAGTAGTAATCCAATAAATCTGAAAAGAAATTATTCGTGATATGGTTATAGATTAAAACCAATTTAATTTAAACATTTTTTTTTTTCAAAACAAAATTAATTAGATGTTTGAGTTTCAGGGTAATTCTATTAAACCCGCAGAATTTTGAAAAATTTCTTTTCAAAATGTTCGTTAAATATGTTTTGATTCTTACTCGGTGAAAAATTCTCTTGCGATTATGATAATGATCTAGTATTTGAGGTTTTTCATCGTCTACTGAAGTCCTAACAATATTTTGACAAATTGTTAATTTAATTTCTTTATCTGCGAAAATATAAGAAAATATTTCTAATATTGGAAGTTCTGTTTGATTTTCAACGTAGTAGGTTTCTGCTAAGTTAAATTCATTTTGTTCTTTATATGAACTATAAAATAAAAGAGAAATTACTGTAGTTGGATTAAAATCGAGAGGGATTATATAGTATTTCCTGTTTTTAACAGTTTTACTATTAAAAATATTTATTCTTTTTAAATGAAAGTCTGGATTTTCTTCTAATATGTCGTCAATTATTTTGTGATGAAATTCTTGTATTTTGTTTTGCCAAAAGAATGTAATTATATTTTTATGTTGTTTATCTAATAATTGATTATTGATAATATTTATTTTTGAATAATCAATTAATGATTGAGAGTCATATAATTTTGAGAGGCAAAAATAGGAAAATTAGTTTTTGAAATAAATTGTGCGCATTTTTTGAAATTATTTATTTTTATTCTAGATAAAGCATCAGCATTTTTATTTGCTTTTCCAGATTTATGAATAATTTTGTAATCATATTCTTCAAGTTTTAAACGCCAACGAGCTAATCTGCTGCCAGGGTCTTAATAGAAAATAACCATGTTAAAGGGCGATGATCTGTTATTAAAGTAAATTTACGACCGAGAAGATATGGACGAAAATGTTTAACTGCCCATACGATTGCCAAAAGTTCACGCTCTATAGTGGAATATTTTGTTTCAGCGCTGCAAAGGGTTCTAGAAGCAAAAGCAATAGGTAAATATTTTCCTATGTGTCCTTGTGAAAGAACGGCTCCTATAGCAAAAGCACTAGCATCTGTTGTTAATAAGAAAGGTTCTTCAAAATTTGGATATATCAGAATAGGGTTTGAAGTCAAAGAATTCTTTAGTTCTTCAAAAGAATCTAGACAATCCTGATTAAAAATAAATGGAACATCTTTTTTTGCAAAAGTCTTGTTAAAGGCTTTGATAATTTTGCAAAGTTTGAGATAAATCGACGGTAATATCCAGCTAAGCCTAAGAAAGATTTTATTTCTTTCGGATTTTTGGGTTGTGGAAAGTTTTGAATACATGAAACTTTTTCTGGATGGGTTTAACACCTTCTGGAGTTATTAAATGTCCTAAGTATGCAACTTCTTTTTAAGAAATTCACATTTATCTGGTTGTATTTTAAGATTTGCCTTTTGTAATCTTTGAAAAACTTCTTTAAGTCTGGAAATGTGTTCATGAATAGTTATATCATCCATGTATACTAAACATCTTTCATTTTGAATTCCTAATAAAATATTGTCCATGACTCGTTGAAAAGTCGAAGGGGCATTTTTAAGTCCGAATAGCATTCTGACAAATTCGTAATGACCATTTTCTACAGAAAAAGCCGTTTTGGAAATATCTGAAGGATTGATTTCAATTTGATGAAATCCTGAAGCAAGGTCAAGTGTTGAGAAATATTCACATTTACCTAAGTGATCTAAAATATCGGAAATATTAGGTAAGGGGTACTTATCATCGATTGTAAGTTCATTTAACTTCCTATAATCAATAACAATACGTCATTTCTGTTTTTTAGAAGCGTCTAACTTTTTGGAACAATCCAAACTGGAGAGGACCAAGGAGAAATTAAAGGACGAATAATACGTTGCTTTAACATGTTACTGATTTGTGTTCTAACTTCTTCTTTGTGTATTTGTGGGTATCTGTAAGATTTAGTGTATATTGGTTTAGCATTCTTTGTATCAATTGAGTGTTTAATTTCATTTGTAAAAGTTAAGACATCATTTTCTAAATAGAAAATATCTTGAAATTCGAGACATAAATTAGTTATAAGTTCTTTTTCTTCATCATTTAAATGATCAGTCCTAAGTTGTGATTTTATTGTTTGAATTCTATCAATTTGATTTGAATTTGGAAAATAATTATTTGTTTGATAATTTAAAATTGTTTGTGAAATGTAAGGTTCAATTTGAATATCAGAAAAATTAATTGATTTTGGAATAGCATTACAATTAATTATTGATGTCAAAAATTATCCATGTTCATTGACATGAACTAATGCATTTGGAATATAAACTTTTTCTTTGTCTTGTTTAGATAAAATTGCATCAGTATTTTGTAAATTACATTTTAATTTAAAAATTTGTTCTGTTCTACCATTAATATTTATTTATTTGATTTTTAATTTGTTCAGAATTTAAATTTTGCTCTCTCAGTGTATCTTCAATTTTAAATAAAGGCACCGTTTTAAAATTTGTTATCAATTTTCTATTTTTTAAGTCAACTGTGCATTGATAATGTTTAAGGAAATCTGATCCTAAGATTCCGTCAAAGTCTATATCTAAGTTGTAAATAAAAACTTTGTGAGGATCATTTGTTTTAAAAAGAATTAGAGTAGACTGAGTTATTAATAATTTCTCGTTAGTAATTCCTTGAATTGAAGTATTTTCTGGTATTCTTTGTGGATATTTTTTAACTGTGTTTTCTTTAAAAATAGAAATTCCTGCACCTGTATCAATTAATATTTTGTATGTGTTTGTTATGTCGTTTATGTAGTATAAGCTTTTAATGTCTACAGTGAAAAAAGGTTATAAGTAAATTTCTGTTCTTGGGATTGATTCGTATCGTTTAAATTCAAAGTTTGAATTTTTGTTTGAATTTCGTTTGTGTCCGTATTCTGTGTATCCGGAGGATGGTTTTGGTCGGAACGCAAATGAAAATTTTGCTGTTGAGCATTATCGTAGTTTTGATAGTCATCATACTCTTACTCGGAGTAGTAATTTGAATAATCTTGAGAATTTGAAAATTTAGAATTATCATAAGAGTAATCGTTTGAAAAATTATCAGAATAATTATTTCAGTAATTATCAGAATAATTGTTTGAATATTCATTTGAATAATCATAA